TATTATTATTATTATTATGTTAATCTGCCCCAGCCCCATATAATTTTAATATCTGTTCACTGAGGCCCTGCATCAGAGACAATAATGCATAGTTTTATGATAATGGAGCTATGCCATTAGAATTGTGGAGATGGAAGAGATGTCAAGGGCCATTCAGTCGAACCCCATTCTGCCATTCAGGAAGACACAATCAAAGCACTCATTACAGATGGCCACTGAGCCTCTGCTTAAAAACCTCCAAAGAAGGAGGCTCCACCATTCTCCAAAGGAAGTGTCTTCCACTGTTGAACAGCATTTACTGTCAGGACATTCCTCCTAATGTTCATACTGAGGAGTCCTGTCGTTATCAGAGCCTTTTCCCCTGACAACAAAGGCATAGAGAATGAGATATCTATTGCCAACTAAATAGGTAGTTGGGCAGAAATGTGAACCTTTATGATGATTCTGAGCAGAGGCTATAAATGCTAGAATAGGACCATGAGGAGAGATCTGAAACAAAGGAACATCTAGAGTGCGGGCTCCATTTGGGAAGGCTGTTCAAAGTTGGACAATGGAGTCCAGGCTCCCAGTTATCCCATGAGCGTCAAGGACTACAAATTGGATCTGATCTGTGAGTAAGATTAGGAAAATGTACTATTAATCATGTTAGGATTTGTTGATTCTTTTTCTGATTTGTCTGAAATGATCTACTCTGTAACTTTTACTTTCTAACCTGTGCCTGAAGAACAAGATGGTTCTTCATGTAGAGAGATACCATTTTGCTATAGAATTTCCCCACTTAGAATAAAGCTTTCCTTTAAAAATACTCTGTCTCTATCATACTCCTTTTTATGTGCCTTGGCTCAGCCTGGCCCTTTCTCAGGATTGGGGAAAGGGAGGGAAGTGTGTCTGCAGCATCATACGGAGAAAGTGCAAGTGGAATCTCCAGCAACATTGTGTCACATTGCTAAAGAGGGAGGACTCAAATCAACAAGTGGTGGTGGTGAGAGAGGTAATTAGATAAGAAAGGTGGCTCAAGGGGTCCCATCCAGCTCAGGGAAAAGCAGAGGGAACTCAGAGAACTCTCACAAGAAGGAATATCTTTTTGTGTATTTGAATCCATTGCACACTGTCCTAATCTCCGGAGTAGTAGAAAACAAGTTTGTTCCATCCTCAATATGACACCTTTTTAATATTTGCATGTGGATATCATTGCACCTCTTAACCTTCTTTTTTCCAGGCCAAACCTACTGAGCTCCCTAGGCCTCAGCTCATAGTGCATGGTTTCCAGACCTTTCATCATTTTGGTTGCCCTCCTCTGGACACGCTCCAGCTTGTCAATATCCTTCTTGTGGTGCCTAAAACTGGACACAATATTCCAAATGAGGTCTGGCATGATAAACAACCATTCCAGTGAACTGTGATGATGCATAACAGGTCTTTGCACAAGATGTCCCTTTGTGCAACAGATGCAATCATTGCAAAACATGTCCCAATGTGCAATGTGTCCCTATATACAACATTTCCCATTTTGCTTGGGAAAACATCAAGTTACGTTCCACGTGGAGAGTGTAGTGCTGCACCCATGCTTCTGGCTCTGGTACTAGATATGTAGCTTTGTCTCCACCCCCTTCCTAAGAACATGGGCATTTCAGAACATCACAAGTCACTTTTATATGATTGTATGTTGATTTTCAATGATGTAAATACCTCACAGGTTGCCAACCAACATGCATTATCTTTAGACAGGATCTGTTGTTGTTGTTGTATTGTTGTTGTGTGTCTTCAAGTCATTTCTGACTTTTGGCAACCCTAAGGTGACCATATCATGGCAAAATTTCTTGGCAAAATTTGTTCAGTGGGGGGTTGCCTTTGCTTTTATCTGAGGCTGAGAGAGTGTGACTCTCCCAGGGTCATCCAGCGGGTTGCCATGGCAGAGCAAGGTCTTGAACCCTTGTCTCCAGAATCGTAGTCAAGTGCTCAAGCCACTACACCACACTGCTTCTTAGGTGGGATGCATCTCCATTATCCACATTTGCTTGAGTATTTTTCTGGTTTAGAACATCTCAGAGTTGTCCTGCATCAAACACTTAGCTTCTAGCTAGTAGCTCTCATTGGGACACATCACCCAAACATCCTGGACGATGACCTAGGGGAATCACATGGCTCTTTCTTCAAAGGAGCAAGAAAGACGTACCAGGTTTTAGCCTATTCAAGAAGCTGAAATATTATTTAAAAATAGATTCAGCTCTCCTCCCCATAGAACACTTAAAGTTCAGACTGAAAACAAAGTTGATTTACTGCTCCACTGACATGACAGCTACCAGCTGCCATTGCCATAAGCACTGTTATGTCAAATTCACAATGCCAGGTATTGCCCATAGCAAAGCCATGGCCATAACATTCAGTAGAATCTGATAGCAAAAGCTGTAATATATTGTTTCATATTATGTTATATGACAGGAATGGATACTGCAGCTGATCCAATGGCTAATTTTCTCTCTCTGGGATCCTCAGGCATCTGCACAGACTTCCAAAAATGAATACATACACCACACAAAAAATCTTGGTGTACCCACATGGCACGTTTTGCTTGCATTTTGCTCTTGCAATAGCATTTTAACTACCATCCCTATGGAATACAGGAAAGAAATATATTGTAACTGTATGCCTCAGAGTTAAAGCTTGGTTCTGCTATGCCACCTTGTTATGAAATTATCATGCTGTGTACCCAAATATACATTATGTATTGGAATGCAATGCACAACCATGCAACCAATCCACAATTTGCACAGATTCACAATGTACAAAATACAACACACAATCATGTTCAATGACTCCACATGCATAACTTTCATGACCTTCAACTGAATGCAATAACATCTAAATCCACAAACAGCTACCCCTGGATATATCTTCAACTGAATATGAATGTTATGCATCAGCCAAAGTACCATTCATAAGGGAATATTAATATGTAGAGAGAACTTGTACCACCTTTGAGACTAACTGAAAGAAAGAAGTTGGCAGCATGAGCTTTCGTAGACTTCAGACTACTTCCTCAGATGCTTTTGGTGGAGTGGAAGCCAGGGACAGACATATATATGCCCTTGGTATGTGAGAATGTCAATTCAAATTCAAAATCCTTTGTGTATGCAAATGAAACAGCAAATCCAGTTTTAACTATGGTCGTTTTAACTATGGACAAAGACATAGCCATTGGGTATGGAAATGAGGTGGCAAGACCAATTTGGCCTTGGAAACCAGCCTGTAGGTGGAGAATAGATGAGTGCAGGATGCCCCCATGAGGATGGGGGCAGATAGTGTTGAAATGTGTGTAGTGAGCCAGTCCATTGCTGAGGGACTGC